CTTACTTCTGTGAATATATAATGGCTAAATTGAAGTTTTTGTCTATTAAATATGACACCTGTTCCCTGTCATAGGCCAATCTGTTGCCTGTTTTTTGTTTTGTTTTGTTTTGTTTTGTTTTGTTTTAGACAGTCTTGCTCTGTTGCCCAGGCTGGATTGTAGTGGCATGATCTTGGCTCACTGCAACCTCTCCCTCCTGAATTCAAGCAATTCTTGTGTCTTAGCCTAGTTATAGGCATGTTCTACCACACTTATATTTTTATTTTTAGTATTTTTGTATTTTTAGTAGAAATGGGGTTTCATCATGTAGTCCAGGCTGGTCTCAAAACTCCTGAGCTCAAGTGATCTGCCAACCTTGGCCTCCAAAAGTGCTGTGATTACAGGTGTAAGCCACTGCACCTGGCCTGCTTGCTGTTCTCCTGTGTATAAGTCCAAGTTTCCCATTTGTTTGCATGCCTTCATTTTTGATTATTTTCCTAATAAGTAGACATATTAGGAAACATACTGTAGTGATTTGCCTGTCCCCTCTCCAGAGCTTGTTCTTCTTGTGGTTTGCTTGGTTATGTATTTTGTGTTTTGGCTATTTTAGTAAAATCTGTTTCCCTTTCCCCTTGCAGTGTGAACTATTTTGTGTTGTTCCTCAGCCTTAAACATATGCACAGTTACCCTGGTCTGACAATGGTTTTAAAAAGGAGTCTCTTTGACTATCTTTCCCTATCTCTCTGTTAAGATGACTGCCTCTTTGGTATTATTTCCAGCCCACTAGGCTCCACTGCCTTCTATCTGGTCACTCTATTGTTTTCAACATTTCCTTGGAGCATAAATTATTAAGCAGTTTAATATAATTTAAGGCAGGGCTAGTTTTTGAGGCCAGTTTTTGAGGTTTCTTTTGACCTTTTGGAGGGCTCCTTAGCTGTCTCTGCCCATGGAATTATCTGATTAAATCCCTGGCCTATGGTTTATGTTGTTGTGTTTACTTTTTAGGGGAGCTATTTGTTTGACACTGTTTCAGATAAATTCCATTCCTTTGGAGAAAGCTTCAGAGCTCTATTCTTATGGACCACCACTCCCTCTGGACAAAATCTCTGAACCACCGTTCAGGGTAATGGGCTGGATGGTAGCCATCTTGTTTTTTGTGTTATGAAACCTCTGCCTTACAAGCAAGTGGAGGCAAGGGCAATCTGGGTCCAAATCTGAGTTCACTGTGCCTGGGTAGACTTTCCAAACTGTGGGTGGGGCTAAGGGAAGCCAAGGAGCCCCAAACCTCTTAGTTGCGTTCACCAGGAATTTAGCCACTTTAACCAAGAGGAGGTGATAAGAAACCCGGGAGGCGTGCCCCTCCTGTTGATATATGACAAACCTCAATTGACAGCTGCAGCCCCATCCTCTTGGCAGCATCCACCCACAGTGAAGCTTCTATCAAATTGAGCTGTAAAGAGTAAAAGGGAGTCGGTTGTATCTTAAACACCACAAATTATCTTACCAAGTTCTTGGTTCTTACCAAATGTTAGTAGAATTTCTTGATATTTCATTTCCTATATACTCTTTGGACACTTTCAGACCTCAAATGGCAAGGTTTTTATACATTTTTTTTCCAGTTTTACTAGAAAATGAGTTTGCAGAGCCCCACATCTACCATCCAGAAGTGGAACTACATATAGTCATTTAACAATAGTTTAGCATTTTCTGTCATCTCATTCTGGAGAATCATAGATGTGGCAGAAATACATATTCTTGAAGAAAAAAATATGTCTCCCTCACAGGTACTGTGATTTCAATAGGGTGTGGGATAAGTACATGACAACATGCATGAGATAGATACTCTGTTTTCTATAGCTCTGTGCTTTTGAGTTACAGAACATAAAAGATATATTGATAGTTATTACTTTTAACATGTCACAATCTAGTTGTAGCATTTAAGATTAAATTTGGTTGTAAAACAGTAAAATTGCCCCAAATTAAAGTGAATAAAAGATAATAAAAGTTCATTTCTCTGTCATATATTATGGATGTAAGCCTGATATTGTGGCCTTGCTCCAAACCAATCATGAATTTTACCATTCTGGCATCAGAATGGAATGAACACTCAGACTTATACAGAACTTGGAAGAATAGTAAATAATTCTGGATACCCTTCACCCAGATTTCTCAAATATTAATATATTAAGCCAGTGTGTTTTAAGAGGTTTCCAGAATTGCCAAAATATTCACTTATATCCTACTTGCCATAAGTTGTGTCACATGACAACACCTTGGAGAAATAACTGCAGTCCTTATTCTAGATAGTCATAGCCAACTGTTAATAAAAATTACTGGTTCTATAATCATGAAAGCAGGGTAGAATGGATATGGGGGCCTAATAAACAACAGATCCTGACCCACTGAGGAATCCATGGAGATGGTTTCACTTTGATCAATTACAAATGAAGACAGTGAATCCCTAGAGACCACAACTTGTGCAGAAGACACATGGAAATGGAACGGGATTCTGGAAATTAAGACACATAGGTCCATTATCCTTCATACCCCAAGCTGGATGATCACAATACCCTATAAAAGCATGACAGAAATCTTGTGTCTACTTCTTCTTCTTTTCTGGGGAGTCTATGAACATTCAAGATAACATCCATCACTGACTATTCTAAAACAAGTTTCTTCACAATGCTGCTCAGAAACACCATGACAAATTTGAATTGGAGCAATATCTCCAAAAATGGGATGCAGATTAATGTATCATTTCAGCCAGGCCTTAATAGGAGATAAACTTCTCAGCTATCACCATACATAAAACATTATAATTCAATAAAATGCCAAATGCAAAAAGAGCAGATCATAGAAATGTAAGTTGAGAAAAATCAGAGTGAACTTCTGACCTTATGATGACATTTTCAACTCTGAAACTATTAAAATAACAAAAGCAGCATCTTTTTTTCCATACCTGTAACTGCCACGTGTATGCACAGCAGCCAGATTTTTTGGTCTTTAATGCTTTTTTCCTCTAAAAGGAACCAGGACTCCCTAAGAGGGTATTAAATCATGAGTTGATTCCATGACTCAGGACAAGAGGCATGGGGGACATGAACCAACAAACAGGATCAGTCTAAAACATCTTCTTACGGCCTGAAAACAATATTCCTTTAAAACATCAAAAGAAAAAAATAAGAAGTAAAAATAAAAAATGTAAATGAATTCCTACTGGCCACATTATGTCAATTTGAGCATAAATAATCATAATTACTACAGGTGCTCCTCAACCTATGGTGGGGTTATATCCAAATAAACCCATCATAAATTGAAAACATCATACACCATATGTGTATTTATGACCTACAATATTTTCAATTTAACAATGGGTTTATCTAGATATAGCCCCATTTTAAGTCAAGGAGCATACTCTATGTCTTAGTCCATTTTGTGTTGCTATAAAGGAATATCTGAGGTTGGGTAATTAATAAAGAGAGAGGTTTATTTGGCTCACTGTTCTGTAGGATTTACAGGAATCATGGTGCAACATCTTCTGGTAAGGGCCTCAGGCTGCTTCTACTCATGGCAGATGAAAAGGGGCAGTGTATGCAGACATCACATGGCAAGAGAGGAAGCAAGAGGGTGAGGAAGGAGGTGCCAGGCTCTTTTGAACAACCAGCTCTCACAGGAACTAACAGAGTGATAACTCACCCCCAATCCAGAGAGGATATTAATTTATTCATGAGGGATCTTCTCCCATGACCCAAACATCTCCCATTAGGCCCCACCTCCAACATTGGGATCAAACTTCAATATGAGATTTGGAGGGGACAAATATCTAAACTATAGCAGCATATCACTTTTGTACTATTATAAAGCTGAAAATTAGAAGTCAAACAATTTTAAGTTGGGGATTACAGGTGTGAGCCACCGTGCCCGGCCATGATTTTTAAATTTGTACATACTTGGCTTGTAACTTTAACAAATATATTAAAGTGTTTTATTATGTTTGCAAAGGGACTCTGACTTCCAACATAGTACTGCCAAGATGGCATGATGATAGAGTTTCATTGAAAGGCTGCCAGGGATTTCTTTTATGACAATTCTTAATGATACTGCCGGGATGTGCAATGACCCATAAAGGAGTTATGCTGGGTTAATACCTAGGGAATCTTTTGATTTCAAAGAAAAAAGTTCAAGAGAATGAATAGAAAAAAGAAACTGGAAATAAAAAATAGGGACATAAGATTTGAAAGCCAAGTTTTATATAATCTTGTTTTATAAGTTGTATATCATTGAAATATCAATACCTGAAAAACACTTGGAAAATTACAACTTATGATTATAGATGCAATTAAGTGGTTAAAGATAGAATTAAGTAGTCTATCAAAAGAATAATCATCTGACCAGGGTATACTCATAGAAAGAAGAAAGCTATCAATATAAATTATCACTTTATAGATTTTTTAACACAATGGAATAAAATCACAAAGGATTATTCTTAATCTTAAAAAAAATTAATGTAATTCATGATGCCACAATGGTATCATGTTTTGTTTTGGGTGTTTTCTGAGACGAAGTCTCACTCTGTCGCCCAGGCTAGAGTGCAGTGGCGCAATCTCAGCTCACTGCAACCTTCACCTTCTGAGTTTGGGTGATTCTCCTGCCTCAGCCTCCCAAGTAGCTGGGATTACATGCATGTGCCACTACGTCCAGGTAATTTTTTTATTTTTAGGAGAGAAGGAGTTAGTTAGTCTCGAACTCCTGACCTCAGGTGATCTGCCCACCTTGGCCTCCCAAAGTGCTGGGATTACAGGTGTGAGCCACTGCTCCCAGCCCAATGGTATCATGTTTTACAGCTTGATTTAAAGGGTTTTTTATTTTTCAAAGTTTATCAATAGCTCATGTACCAGCCATGGGATAGGTGCTGGTATAAATGCTGAACAAAAAAAAAGGTTCCAGACAATCTTGGCTCCCTGCATAATCCGAAGGGTGCCAGTTTTGTACTGAGTACAGTGTCAGCCATATCACACAAGTTGAATTATGTTGACACTTTAATGGCATTCATTTCTCAATAGTCTATTTCAAATTTCATTTTGTATTCAATCCAGGGCTTAAATAGACATGACTATAAATTTTCAGAGATGACAATATCTCTCCATAGATTACTTACCCACTACAAACCAAATCTTTACAATGGACTTATGGCAGTTACCAGCTTACCCAAATGATCATCCCTAGTTTCACTAACGCAAGGACCTGTACGTAAATGTTTTCTGACAGTACAATATGACATACAAATAACCTACAAAGTATTCTTCCCCAAAATGTTTAATCTAGACCTAAGAAAGCCTCTGGACTTACATTCCCTTGTACAGAAAATACAACCAAGAACAAGGTTAAATGACACTATAAAGAAAGAAATCAAAACACGTAGCCGACAACATTTCTGACCTACTCAAATCAATGTATTTTGTTTTAAATGAGGAGAAATGTTCTAGACCAGTGGCTCTCTAACTCTGGTTGGTATCACAGTCACAAAACCTGGAGAAATAATAAAAAACAGAGGCCCAGGCTTATAAGCTAGGGCTACACTTCTCTAGGTTTACTAAGTTCCACAGGTGATTCTGATACCCACCATAATTTGAGAGCATACCTTCATGGGGTTTCCATGCTACAATACACTAAAGAGAGATAACCAAATGCAATGCAGAATCTGCAATGGATTCTCCTTAGAAAATGAATAGCTGTAAAAGATGGTTTGCCAGTCAATGAAGAAATCTGAAGATGGAATGATATTATAGAATTATGAATATTTTCCTTAAGGGTAATTATGGTACTATGGTTATATGATATTGTCTTTATGTTTGGGTAACACACATGCTGATGTAACAAGTGGTAAAGTGTCATGATGTCTAAAACTTATTCTCAGTGGTCTAAAACTTATTCTCAATGGTACAACAAATATACAAAAAATAAATGTGGCAAATTGTTAACAATTTTGAATCTAGGTGGGGGGATATGGGTGTATATTTTACTATTCTTTCCAAACCCGCAACAATTATCAACTAGGTTCACCATATTTTATGGGCAGGATTTATGGTATCCCCAATTACACTAGTAACATCAAAAAACACTGGTCACAGATCACCATAATACATATTAACAATAAAAAAAGTTTGAAATATTATGAAAACTACCAAAGTGTGACACAAAGACATGAAATGTGCACATGCTGTTTGGAAAATGGTGCTGATAGACTTGTTCACTGCAAGGTTGCTGCAGACCTTCAATGTACATAAAATCCAGTAACTGCAATGCACAACTAAGCAAGTATGCCTGTATCCAGTAAAATATTTCATGGGCAGTAAACTGTGAACATGGCAGCTACTCTACATTCCTCACATCAATAACTTTCTCACCAAAATTACCTCCTTTGAACTCTTAAGTCATTTAGTGTGGCTATAAAACATCCCACATTCCTTACACTCAAAGGAGTTCTCAGCAGTTTGAATACTCTGATGTTGAGCAAATCCCAGGCCACAGTGAAAGTTCATCACACATTCTTTTATGTTCACAGGATTTCTCATCAATATGAATTCTCTGGTGTTGGGCAAATTTTTCATACACAGTGAAGGCTTATCTATACTTCTTATATTCATTAAAATTCTATTATGAATTTTTTGATGTTGAGTAAGCAGATCATTCACAGTAAGGGTTTGCTCACATTCTTTACATTCATAGGGTTTCATGCCAGTATGAATTCTGTGATGTGCAGAAAGGACTGAACTAAGTCTAAGGGTCTTCCCACATCCTTTACATTCACAGGGTCGCTCACCAGTATGAATTTTAACATGTTGAACAAGGCTTGAGCTACAAGTAAAGGTCTTTCCACATTCTTTACATTCATATGGTTCATACTAGTATGAATTCTTTGATGTGCAGTAAAGACTAAGCTAAATCCAAAAGTTTTCCACATTCTTTACACTCACAGGGTTTCTCAGCAGTATGGATTCTCAGATGTACAGTAAGTTCATAATTACTGCTAAAGGCCTTTTCACATTCATTACATTCATAGAGTTTCTCATCAGTATGAATTTTAATATGTTTCATAGGTTTGAACTATGACTAAAGGCTTTCCCACATTCTTCACATTGATATGGTTTCTTACCAGTATGAATTCTCTGATGTACTCTAAGGTTTCTACCACTGGTAATGCATTTTCCACATCCTTGACATTCATAAGGGTTCTCACGAATATGAAATCTATGATGTCCACGAAATTGGTAATTATATTGAAAGGCCTTCCCACATTCCTTACATTCAAAGGTTTTCACCCAAGTATGAATTTTCTGATGTTGAATAAGTTGCTACTGATGTCTGAAGGCTGTCCCACATTTCTTACATTCAAAGGGTTTCTCACCTGTACAAGTTTTTGATGCAGAGAAAGTTGTAGGTGAAGTCTAAAAGCCTTCCCACACTCCTTACATTCATAGGGTTTCTCACCATTATAAACACTCCGAGGTTGAACAAGGTTTGAGCCATGATTAAAGGCCTTCCCACACTCCTTACATTTAAATGGCTTCTCACCATTATGAATGATCTGATGTCCAGCAAGCTGTGTCAGAAGACTAAAGGCCTTTCCACATTCTTTACATTCAAAGGGTTTCTCACCAGTATGAATTTGGTAATGTTCAATAAGCTGGTAATGATATCTAAAGGTCTTCCTACACTCCTTACATACAAAGGGTTTCTCACTGGAATGAATTTTCTGATGCTGAATAAGGTTTGAACCACGATTAAAGACTTTCCCACACTCCTTACATTCATATGGTTTTACACCAGCATGAATACTCTGATGTTGAACAAGGTTCGAGACACGATTAAAGGACTTCCCACATTCTTTACATTCAAATGGCTTCTCACCTGTGTGAATGTTCTTATGGCGATTAAGCTGGGTGTGAAGACTGAAGGCCTTGCCACATTCCTTACATTCAAAGGGCTTCTCACCAGTATGAAATTTCTGATGTCGAATAAGGTGCATATGAAGTCGAAAGGCTTTCCCACATTCCTTACATTCAAAGGGTTTCTTTCCAGTATGAATACTTCGATGTTGATTAAGATTTGAACCACGACGGAAGAATTTCCCACATTCCTTACATTCAAAGGGTTTCTCACCTGTATGAGTTTTCTCATGCTGAGAAAGTTGTAGGTGAAGCCTAAAAGTCTTCCCACACTCCTTACATTCATAGGGCTTCTCACCAGTATGAATACTCTGATGTTGAACAAGATTCGAGCCACGATTGAAGGCCTTCCCACAGTCTTTACATTCAAATGGTTTCTCACCACTATGAATGTTCTTATGTCGAGCAAGCTGTGTCAGAAGACTAAAGGCCTTCCCACATTCTTTACATTCAAAGGGCTTCCCACCAGTATGAATTTGGCAATGTTGAATAAGTTGGTAATGATATCTAAAGGCCATCTCACATTCCCTACATACAAAGGGTTTCTCATTGGAATGAATTTTTTGATGCTGAATAAGATTTGCACCACGATTAAAGCCTTTCCCACACTCCTTACATTGATATGGTTTTACACCAGCATGAATACTCTGATGTTGAATAAGGTTTGAACTACGATTAAAGGACTTCCCACATTCTTTACATTCAAATGGTTTTTCACCTGTGTGAATGTTCTTATGGCGATTAAGCTGATTGAGAAGACTAAAAGCCTTCCCGCATTCCCTACATTCAAAGGGCTTCTCACCAATATGAATCTTCTGATGTCGAACAAGCTTTGTCAGAAGAGTAAAGGCCTTTCTGCATTCTTTACATTCAAAGGGTTTCTCGCCAGTATGAATTCGGCAATGTTCAATAAGTTGGTAATGATATCGAAAGGTCATCCCACATTCCCTACATACAAAGGGTTTCTCATTGGAATGAATTTTTTGATGCTGAATAAGATTTGAACCACGATTAAAGGCTTTCCCACACTCCTTACATTGATGTGGTTTTACACCAGCATGAATACTTTGATGCTGAGTAAGGTTTGAGCTACGATTAAAGGACTTCCCACATTCCTTACATTCAAACAGTTTCTCACCTGTGTGAATGTTCTTATGGCGATTAAGCTGGGTGGAAAGGCTAAAGGCTTTTCCACATTCCTTACATTCAAAAGGTTTCTCACCAGTATGAAATTTCTGATGTCGAGTAAGTTGTATGTGAAGTTGAAAGGCTTTCCCACATTCTTTGCATTTGTAGGTTTTCTCTCCAGTATGAATACTCTGATGCTGAATAAGATTTGAACCACGACTAAAGTGTTTCCCACATTCCTTACATTCATAGGGTTTATGTGTATTATAAATAAGAGAAGCATAAGTAGGCATTTCTTCATAGCTGATGATCTTCTGATTGATATATCCTTCTTGATGTCCCTGTAGTCCCTCAAATCTACTTCTATATTCTGAGTCATTTCTAAAATAAAAGGCCTCAAGGCCAAGTGTTTTACTTATTTGCTTTATAACACGTTTGGGTAAATTTATTTCAAAAATATCATTTTCTGGAGATATTTTTTCAGGTCCATGTTTTGACTCCAAATCTGAAAGAAATGAAGAAGGCAAACATATTTTATTTTCCTATAACACACATGCATACAAAATCCATTAAACAAATGGCCAAAGTATAAAATATAATACTTTCAGGGAAGGGATCTGAAAAAGAAAAAGGGTGCCAATAATGAAGAAAGTTTATGTAAGATGGTGGTATACATAAGGGAACAGGTTAACTTTGTCAAATTTAAGTGTGAATCAAAACCATTTGGTGAACTTAATAAAGATATTGATATTCAAGCAACTCAGATGTACAGAATCAGAATTTTTAGTGAAAAAAACTGTTTTTTGTTTGTTTGTTTTTTGGGATGAAGTTTCACTCTTATCTCCCAGGCTGCAGTGCAATGGCACAATTTTGGCTCGCTGCAACCTCCACCTCCTGGGTTCAAGTGATTCTCTTGCCTCAGCCTCCAGAGTAGCTGGGATTATAAGTGTGCCACCACACCTGGCTAATTTTTGTATTTTTAGTAGAGATGGGGTTTCGCAATGTTGGCCAGGCTGGTCTGGAACGCCTAACATCAGGTGGGTGGCCTCCCAAAGTGCTGGGATTATAGGTGTGAGCCATTGAGCCCAGCCTGTATTATTATTATTATTATTTTTAAGAGACAGGGTCTCTGTCTGTTGCACAGGCTATAGTGCAATGGCATGATCATAGCTCACTGCTATGGGACTATACTAAACTAAAAAGCTTCTGCACAGCAAAGGAAACTATATACAGAGTGAATAGACAAACGAGAGAAATCATCTCCAAGCTATTTCTCTGACAAAGGACTAATATATAGAATATACAAGAAAATGAAATAACAGCAAAAAAAAACCTCCAATTAAAAAAGTGGGCAAATTATATGAATAGACATTACTCAAAAGAAGACATACAAACAGCCAAGAGAATATGATAAAATGCTTAACACCACTATTCATCAGGGAGAAATGCAAATCAATACCACAATGAAATATCATCTTACCCCAGTCAGAATGGCTACAATTTAAAAGACAAAAAATAACATACCTGAGAGGATGAGGGAAAAAGGGAACTCTTATATACTGTTGGTGGGATATAAATTAGTACAATCACTATGGAAAACAGCATGCAGATCTCTCAAAAAACTAAAAATAGAACTACCATATGATCCAACAATCCCACTACTGGGTATTGATCCATAGGAAGAGAAATCAGTATATCAAAATGATACCTGCACTTGTATGATTGTAGCATTATTCACAATACCAAAGGTATGGAATCAACCTAAGTGTCGCCCAACAGACAAACAGATAAAGAAAATGTGATATATACACAATGGAATACTATTCAGACTTTTAAAAAATGAAATCATGTCATTTGCAGCAACATGGAGGGAATCGGAGGTCAGAAAGACAATATCAGACCAGGTGCAGTGGCTCACGCCTGTAATCCCAGCAATTTGGGAGGCCGAGATGGGTGGATCACCTGAGGTCAGGAGTTTGAGACCAGCCTGGCCAACGTGGTGAAACCCTGTCTCTATTAAAAATACAAAAATTAGCCAGGCATGCTGGCAGGTGCCTGTAATCCCAGTTACTCAGGAGGCTGAGGCAGGAGAATTGCTTGAACCCGGGAGGCAGAGGTTGCAGTGGGCCAAGATTGCACCACTGCATTCCAGCCTGGGCGACAAGAGCGAGGCTCTGTCTCAAAAAAAAAAAAAAGAAAGAAAGACAAATATCATATGTTCTCATTCATATCTGGAGGCTGAAAAAAGATCTCACAGAGGTAGAGAACAGAATGATAGAAACCAGAGGTTGGGAAGGGTGTGTGGTGAGGGGTGGGGGATGAAGAGGAGTTGGTTAATGTTACAAACATATAGGTAAATAGAAGGAATGACTTCTAATGTTCATTAGCAGAGTAGAGTGACTCTAATTAACAATAATGTATTGTATATTTCAGAATAGCTAGAAGAAGACTTGAAATGTTCCTATCACAAAAAAATGATAAACACTCCTCTGGTGGATTTGATGGATACCTCAAATACCCTGACACTTGCTCATGACACATTCTATACCTATAACAAAACATAATGTGTATCCCATAAATATGTACAAATATTGGGTATCAATTAAAAATGAATAAATAACTCTTGAAGAACTTCCCACAATCCTCACAATGATAGTCAAAAACCCTGTATGATACGACTCCGGCCTAACTCTCAGACCTCTCTTCCTGCTGTTCCATCACTTACTCCACCTTCGTGTTACCTGCTCAGTCTGACTAGAATACTCTCACCTGGACACACAACTTGAACCCTTACTTCCCATCTCTATGCAAGCATGCCCACTTCAACACAGGCACCCTGAGCACCCAAGTTCTGCCATTTCACTCCATCACTCCTATTTCCTTGTCCTAATAGTACAATTCTCTGGCATTCCTTATATATTCATTTGCTTACTTGTTTGAGGCATGTCTCACAAACTGCTGGTAAAGTCCATGACAGCAGTGACTTTCTGTCTTGTTCATTACCTGTACATTACAGTACTGACAGAGCCAAGCACATGCCTTCTAGGAATGTACACTCAATACATAATTACTGAATATGAACACATTTCTTAGTGAAAACACATATAGAAATCTAAATGCAATAGCAGAGTTGGAAAGTAGCTGGATCCAAAATACGTGTTAAAAGTTTACACTGGGGACCAGGAGAGTGTACACTGGGGGCCAGAAGCATTGGCTCATGCCTGTAATATCAGCTACTTGGGAGGTTGAGGCAGGAAGACTACTTGAGGCCTAGAGTTCAAGATCAGCCAGGGCAACATAGCAAGATGCTGTCTCTTAAAAAATAATTTTAAAAACTGTTTAAAGTTTACACTGGGAAAGAAAGAGGAAACTCACTCCATTAAAAGAGGAAGAAAACACCAGAAATTAGGTGATTAGTAAATGATGAAGTTCCTTGGGGATAGCTCCTATAGTGATCTTATTTCCTTGCCAGGTCTTGGGCATTTTTATCCAACGGGGGGACCTTGGGTCATTGAAGAAAGTTTTCCAAACCACATCTCAGGGATGTGACTCCTGTCTGAGCACATGGGCTGCCCAGGACAATGATGGCTTCCCCCTGCCTGCTTTGCTCTCACTTACCTGGATACCATCTGCTTGTTTCTTTCCTTACAACAATCCAGGGCTCTTTCTCTTGCTCTAGTAACGTAATCACATCTGGCTTAGAAATGGAACTTCCTGCTTAAAAGAAATAACACGTGTAGAATTTTTTTTAATATAAACATTTTTTTGAAACTCTGAGACCTAGTTAAACTTATAATAAATTACAAGCCTAAACAATATTGAGAAGAGACTCCAGATAAGAGAGGATTGAGGCCGGACGCGGTGGCTCAAGCCTGTAATCCCAGCACTTTGGGAAGCCGAGACGGGCGAATCACGAGGTCAGGAGATCGAGACCATCCTGGCTGACACGGTGAAACCCTGTCTCTACTAAAAAATACAAAAAACTAGCCGGGCGAGGTGGCGGCGCCTGTAGTCCCAGCTACTCGGGAGACTGAGGCAGGAGAATGGCGAGAACCCGGGAGGCGGAGCTTGCAGTGAGCTGAGATCCGGCCACTGCACTTCAGCCTGGGCGGCAGAGCGAGACTCCGTCTCAAACAAAAAAAAAAAAAAAAAAGAGGATTGAGTAAGGGATCGACTATGTTTGGAAAAAAAAAAAGGGCCGGACGTGGCGGCTCACACCTGTAATCCCAGCACTTTGGGAGGCCGGGGCGGGTGGATCACAAGGTCAGGAGATCGAGACCATCCTGGCTAACACCAAATGAAACCCCGTCTCTACTAAAAATACAGAAAATTAGCTGGGCGTAGTGGTGGGCGCCTGTGGTCCCAGCTACTCGGGAGGCTGAGGCAGAAGAATGGCGTGAACCCGGGAGGCGGAGCTTGCAGGGAGCCAAGATCGTGCCACTGCACTCCAGCCTGGGCAAGAGAGCAAGACTCCATCTCAAAAAAAAAAAAAAAAAAAAAAAAGGACTTTCATTTAAACTAATAGAAACTTATCCTTCAAGAGGAGGTATAATTTAGTGGTTGACAGCAGGAACCTTCAAGCCAGATTACCTGGTTGAAATCCTGTCTCTGCCATCCACTAGTACTGTGACATTAAGCAAGTCACTTGAACTCTCTGTCCTTCAGTTTTCCCAACTCTAAAACAGGAATGATAATAATACCTGTTTTATAGGATTGATACTAATATTAAATAAGATAATATATGTAAAATACTTCTAACATTCACTGATATGTAGTAGCACAAAGTTAACAATTATTATGCTTATTGTCATTATTTATTTTGCATCCTTAGACACTTACAGCTCATTTTAAGAATTTTCACCCCACAGAAAAGCATACATTTCATGGCCTGAAACTTTCAACTACAAAACAAGTAACAGAATGTTTGTTGACGGAAATGGAATACATTGACTTTAGTGCTAAATGAATTCTGTGAACCCAATATGTAAATTGTTGAGGCTTTTGTTTTGTTTTGTTTTTTGAGACAGTGTCTTGCTCTGTTGCCCACGCTAAAGTACAGTGGCATGACCACGGCTCTCTGCAGCCTTGACCTCCCAGGCTCAAGCAATCATAGAGGCTCTTTTGATAGAAAAACTCAACACACTCTTCTCCTTATAGGTGGGCCAGAAAAACAAAAACAAACAAGAAAATCTACAGTAATTCTGAGGTCAAACATAATATGAAACCCGGTTATTGAACAATATCATTCAACGAATATACAAGATTTCAAATTCAGCCCCATGGTCATGAAGCGAGAGAGGGGATTACAGAGACGACCAGCATCATGGAGGAGGCCACTGTGGAGTAGGCAAGATGCAGGGGCTCCAGGGAGGTGCCTATTTTCAACCCAACAAATCTCAATCCATTCCTTTGGGAATAAGAAGAAGGAATCCAACTACCTCTTAAAACACAGCCCTAAAATTCATGGTGAAGAAAGCTGATATTCCAGAGAAGAGATGCTAAATTAACTGGGGCAGATGACCTTACCCAGTGAGATCAGGTGGCTGTAGTTCTCCAACATCACGTCCCTGTACAAGGTCCTCTGATCAGGCTGCAGGCACTCCCACTCCTCCTGAGAGAAGTCAATGGCCACATCTCTGAATGTCACTGATCCCTGAAACCACAAACACATGTATTATGGTGAAATTGAAGAAAATTGTTTCAAGACGAAAGGAGAGGAAGTGAAGGATTAAACTGCAATAAAGGAGCAATATGGAAAATTGCGGAGTGCCTACACATTCTTCAAGAATCCTGCTGCTGGCCTGGCATGGTGGCTCAGGCCTGCTATACCAGCACTTTGGGAGACCAAGATGGAAGGACCGCTTGAGCCCAGGAGTTTGCAAACAGCCTGGGCAACATAACAAGATGCACTCCCCGCAAAAAAAAAAAAAAAGAAAAAAAAAAAGAAAGAAATAACTGTCGTGGTGGCATGTGCGTGTAGTCCCAGCTACTTGGGAAGCTGAGGTGGAAGTATCGCTTGAACCTGGGAGTTCAATGCTGCAGTGAAGTGTGATGGCATTACTGCAGTCCAGCCTGAGCTACTGAGTGAGACCCTGTCTCAAAAAAAAAAAAAAAAAAAAAAAAAAGGTAGTTGCATACAACTGAGGAATGCCCTTAATCCTCAAGCTCATTGTGGTATCCGATGATAGCAAAAGGATTTTTTTCTTGTCAATGACAACTGATTTTTATAAGCTGCCTGAAATTCAAAATAACTAACATATTAGATTTAGTCATTGTTTTCTATTTATACATTTAAGATGGTCAGAGTCTCTAAGCTTTTCCCCAATTCAGAGAATCTGTAATCACCTACCACTCATGCTCTGAATAATCTCCGTTACTGCCCACTGTCCTCACTGATCACTTTCTTAAAAGCCTCATAAAGCAGATCACCTTGTCACACTTGCAGACTGAGGCCACTTGCTACGGAATTCGACCTTAGCTACCTGGAAAGCTCCAGTCTGTGGAGAAGTTTCAAGGTGTTCCCAAGTGTGGTCAAATGCAACAATCATCTGTAACTTATCAAACGCACAAGACCGTGTGTCCCTGTGGGGACCGACTCCTCCACTGTTCCAACATTCTTTCTGACCAAGGACTGAGCTCAGAGCACAGACTGAATAACCAGCTCAAAGGAAACATCAAAGCCACTGGGAAAACAGAGGTATCAATAGGAAGAGCGCTGACCTTTATTTTTTGGTCACCAACCTTCACTGTAATGGGACAAACTGGGGTGTAAGATCGTGGATGCTGGCCGGGCGCAGTGGCTCACACCAGTAATCCCAGCACTTTGGGAGGCCGAGGCAGGGGGATCACGAGGTCAGGAGATCGAGACCATCCTGGCCAACATGGTGAAACCCCATCTCCACTAAAAATACAAAAAATTAGCCGGGAGTGGTGGCAGGCACCTGTAGTCCCAGCTACTCAGGAGGCTGAGGCAAGAGAATCGCTTGAACCCGGGAGGTGGATGTTGCAGTGAGCCGAGATCACGCCACTGCACTCCAGCCCGGGTGAAAGGGCAAGACTCCATCTCAAAAAAAAAAAAAAAAAAAGGTGTTGATCCTTAGGTAAGAAGCTTCAGGTGAAATAATAAGTCACCTAACCTGAAAGTCACCGTATTTCAAGAAGAAGAGAGAACTACCAACTTACATGGACCATGTTTCTAGAATTACAAAATTGGTCAATCTTCCTCGGGCTTCTTCCCTGGAAAACAACAGAAACAAAAGGCCATAAGTCAAGCTCTGTCCCAAAGCACTAGAGCAAATAACTATTTTATTCTCCATTCCTATTTCTCAACTACTCCTGTTAACACGCACACTTCCCCGCCTCCCACATCACTCCCTTTTCCCCTACACACACTCTCTCACAAATAAACTGGCAGTGAACAGGTGGAGTGTGGATGAAACCAAGCTCTCGCCTACATCCCAGGGAACCTGCGGCAGAAGCATGATTGCCCAGCACAGGCATTTCAGCCTTGAAGTTGCTCAAAAGACACTCTAGCAGGAGGGCTTCCAGCCAGTCCTCCAGTCTGGGGATACCTATCTTGGCTTAGGACTGGGCCTCTGATCCTGCTGTAAGCAATCCTCCTCCCCTAGCCCCACCTTTCAGAGCTGAGAAGGGATTGCGTCTCCAATCCAGAACCTCTCTGTGAACTCAGGATTGGGTGCAGTGGGGCAAGGCATGAGAACTGGAAAGGATATAGACAGAATTGCATGGGCAGTGTTCAGCATTCTGAGCTCACCAAAAGCCAGCTGGTTAAGTACAGTTCAGAATAGCCATGTAATAGAATACGAAGTAATCATTAAATGTTCTAGACATACAATTAACAGAAAAATCAGGTTACAAAGCAGGATAGACAATATGATTACATTTGTAAAATATATGTATAAATATTAAGTAAGACTAACAGACATCAATAGAAAAAAATTTAGACAGGTGTATGCATGCTAACAGTACTTATCTCTGTGTTGTAGCCCCAATTTTCTTCTTTTTGCTTAAGAGTACTTCATAATTGTGACTATGCCCAGGCATTAAGTTGGAATATATAATTATATTCTCTCACATACACACACATATATATACACACACATACACATGTGTATGTATCTGTATATGTACATATTTAAATGTACATACACATTTTTTTTTCCTGTGAGGAAATTGTTCTCCAAATTAGATGAAAGACACCTTTTATTTAGACATCTTCCTTTCAACTTGGGGACAAAAAAAGGAAACTCTACTGAGCTCTTGTTTTTATGTAATAAGTTTGCATCCATTATTTCCCAATTCTTGACCAACACTAAGATGTCTATGTTTTTCTATGTATGTTAGCACAATTTCTAAAACAAAAAATTGCCTACAAATCCCCAATCAATGTCTTGTATGCATTAATGATGGTCATATTTCTACATCCGAATTCAAAAATAAAAATAAAACGGAGTTATCAGAGAGTACTTTTAATCATAAAAAACAAAAAACTGAGCCTGTCATGAGGATCAACAGAAAATATTAATGTGACTATAACAAATAACATCAGCTAGTTCTGACATCCTTTAGCTGTATCTCACCAATATAATTAGACATTTTCATTATCAAGACTCTTCTCTGAATGAACACAATGCAGATACGTGGCATCTGGAAACTACATGAGAAAATCTGTGGAATATACATCATCATGCTTGGGTTCCCTTCTTCACCAAATAACTCATTAAAATACCACTTTGTATATAATTCCTACAGAATGCCTTACAAAAACCCTATCTTAGTATATGGGATTCATATACATGTAACATTTTCGTGAGCATTATTGTTCATAGCATGAATACTGCTTAATGGCATATCAAATATTTCTTTCCATAATTCTTTATAGACATCATTTTATTAGCTGCATAATACTCTATCACTTGAGTCTAGTATAATTTGCTTAGTGATTTCCATATTACAGGACACTTAGTTTATATGAGATCATTTACAGTGTCATTCCAGGTATCACAGTCTTTTGATTCTAGACTAAGGTTTTTCACCCTAGGCACTACTGACATATTGTGGTGTATAATCCTTTGTTGGGGCTGTGGGGAAGGTTATCCTATGCACGGTACAATGTTCAGCAGCATCCCTGACCTCTGTCCACTAAATCTAAGTAGCACCTCCCCCACAGTGTGACAACCAAAAGTTCTTTTTTTTTTTTTTTTTTTGAGACGGAGTCTTGCTCTGTCGCCCAGGCTGGAGTGCAGTGGCCGGATCACAGCAAGCTCCGCCTCCCGGGTTCACACCATTCTCCCGCCTCAGCCTCCCGAGTAACTGGGACTACAGGCGCCCGCCACCTCACCCGGCTAGTTTTTTGTATTTTTTAGTAGAGACGGGGTTTCACCGTGTTAGCCAGGATGGTCTCGATCTCCTGACCTCGTGATCCACCCGTCTCGGCCTCCCAAAGTGCTGGGATTACAGGCTTGAGCCACCGCGCCCGGCCCAAAAGTTCTTAAACATCATCCCTGCTGAGAATCAATGTTCCATCTAGATCAATGGATCCAAGCCTCATGGGTCACATACAGTTTTGATAGTCTTGATATGATATACTATTTCTCCCTCTACATTGATACATTTCCATAGTACTTCAATATATTATTTCAAGAGCTTTGTGGTCCCCAAGAGCATAAGTGGAGTTACAGGAACTCAGGTTAAGAATTTCAGTCCTACATTCTTTACAGAAATAGAAAAAAAAAAATCCTAAAATTTGTATAGGACCACAAAAGACCCCAAACAGTCAAAGCAGTCTGGAGCAAAAAGAACAAAGTGGAGGCATCAAACTACCTGACTTCAATATATACTACAAAGCTACAGTAACCAAAACAGCCTGGTACTGACATAAAAACAGACACCTAGGCAAACGGAACAGAATAGAACGCCCCAGAATAAATTCATGTGTTTACAACCAACTGATATTTGAGACAGGTACCGAGAACATACAATAAGGAAAAGACAGTCTCTTCAATATATACTGTTGTAAAAACTGGGTAGTCATACACAGAAGAATGAAATTAGACCCTTTTCTCAAACCATTATACAAAAATCAACTCTAAATGGATTAAAGATTTAAATGTAAGATCCCAAACTATGAAACAAATAGAAAAAAAATATGGGGAAAGCTCCATGACATTGACCTGAGCAATAATTTTTTTTTTGGAAATGAGGTCAGAAGCACAGGCAACAAAAGCAAACATAGACAAATGAAATTACATCAAGCTAAAAAAGCTTCTGCACAGCAAAGTGAAGAGACTACCTACAGAATGAGAGAAAATATTTGCAATAATGTATCTGATAAGGGGTTAATATCCAAAATGTGTGAGGAACTCAACAGCAAGAAAACAACCCAATTAAAAAATGGGCAAAAGACCTGATAAACACATCTCAAAAGACGACATATAAATGGCCACAGTGTATGAAAAAATACTCAACATCACTAATCATCAGGGAAATGAAATTTAAACCTACAATAAGATATCACTTCATATGTATTGGGGTGGCTATTGAAAAGACCTAAGTTAACAAATGTTGGTGAGAACGTAGAGAAATGTGAACCATTGCACACTGTTGGTGAGAATGTAAAGTGACACAGACATTATGGAAAACAGTATGGAAGTTCTTCAAAAAAATTAGAACTAGAACTACCATATGATCCAGCAATCCACTACTGGGTATACATCCAAAGGAAATGAAATCTGTATGTCAAAGAGACATCTGCACACCCATTTTTATTGCAGCACTATTCACAATAGCCAAGATATGGAATCAACCTAAGTGTCTATCAATGAATGGATAAAGAAAATGTGGCATATATATACAATGGAAAACTAGCTATAAAAAAAGGGAAATGCTGTCATCCCCAACAACATGGATGAACCTGGCGAACATCATATTAAGTGAAGTAAGCCAGGCACAGAAAGACACATGATCTCACTCATCAGTGGAATCTAAAAAAATGTTTATATAGGCCAGATGCGGTGGCTAACACCTGTAATCCAGCACTTTCAAAAGCAGAGGCGAAGGCCGAGACAGGCGGATCACTAAGGTCCGGAGTTCGAGACCACCCTGGCCAACGTGGCGAAACCCTGTCTCTACTAAAAATACAAAAATAAGCTGAGTGTGGTGGCGCACACCTGTAGTCCCAACTACTTGGAAGTCTGGGGCAGGAGAATCACTTGAACCCAGGAGGCAGAGGTTGCAGTGAACTGAGATTGCGCCACGGCACTCCAGCCTGGGCAACAGAGTGAGACACTCTCTCAAAAAAAAAAAAGAAAAAAGTTGCTATCATAGAATTAGAGAAGAGAATGCTGTTTACAGGTTGGGGGTAATGTGGGTGAGGGAAGGAAGGAGGTGTTGGTTGGGGAAATGTTGGTCAAAGGATATAAAATTTCAGGAAGATAAGAGAAATAAGTTCAAGAAATCTATTACACAACAGCATATCTACAATTAATAACTATTCTGTAGTCTTGAAAAATTCTAAGAGAGTGGCTATTAAGTATTCTCACCACAAAAATGATAACTATGTGAGCTAATGCATTGCTAATTAGCTAGATTTAATCATTCCACAATGTACATATACTATAAAACATCATGTTGCACACGATAAATACATACAATTTTATCTGTGAATTTAAAAAGAATTTCTGTCCTAGATCATTTGAGCAACTCATTTTCTTACTATGCAAGCAGCAATCACAATGAATTACACATTCCCAATGCTCCTGTCCTATAGACAGTCAAGGGAAATGACCTAAAATGGCCACACAAAAACAAAACTTAAAACATTAAACATTATTATTATATGCCTAGCACTGCTGTAAGAGGCTTTACAGTATTCATTCATTCTAATGTTCATTACAAGTCTGAGAAGACCAGAAACAGACAGAACAAACATTCCAACCCAGATACTCTGGAGCCACTCCCCTATTCTTAACCACAATAGTGTACTGCCTCTCACAGTCCACACACGCAAATAGCCCAAAACGCAAGTGAAATTGCCAAACCTCAGAGAGATCTGGCAGTAATTACAATGATAATCTCATGGACTCTCCCAAACAAATCCTGACTCTTGATACCAATTTCTGTGCAATCACTTTCCAACTCCTGAAAGCCTCACAGAGGAAATCACCCAACCATCTCCATTCTTCCCTGCTTTGAAAAGGAGACCTGTAAAGACAATCAGATACCCGGTGTGCGATTCCACAAACTAATCTTCTTACCAAAGCAGAGTCTAAAATAAAGCGTTAATATAAACCTCTGGAGGACTATTTTTATACCAGCTTAGAAGAGAGCGCACAGGAAGGTGTGAATGATTTGCCAAATGGTTCTGTGAATATTAAGTGTAAAAGTGGGGAGAGGGCGGGGCGGGGGCGACACGATGGGAGGGGGCAAGAATTAATTTGCATATTCTCCTGAAATTCACTAAAAATTTACAGGAACTTCTTTTTTTATTTTTTTTTTGACGGAGTCTCGCTCTGTCGTCGCCCAGGTTGGAGTGCAGTGGCGCGATCTCGGCTTACTGCAAGCTCTGCCTGCCGGGTTCACGCCATTCTTCTGCCTCAACCTCCTCTGCCTCAACCTTTGAGCAGCTGAGACTACAGGCGCCCACCACCACGCCAGGCTAATTTTTTTTGTTGTTGTATTTTTAGTAGTGACGGGGTTTCACCGTGTTAGCCAGGATGGTCTCGATCTCCTGACCTCGTGATCCGCCCGCCTCGGCCTCTCAAAGTGCTGGAATTACAGGCGTGAGACACGGCGCCTGGCAGGAACTTCTATACTCTGAAATCAAAAACGCATGTCTTAAACAAATACAAAGCACAAACTCACCCTTGACTTAAGTGTGCAGCAATAACGCTCTCATCCTCCTACCGGTCCTTCTTTTGGATAATGGTACGACTGGGAAAGGATACGGCAAGCGTGAGACTCTAGGCTTTTCTTGGAGCGCAGACTAAGTTTGAAAGCACCCTCCATGGCCACAACTGCCCTCACTTCGTACGAAATGAGAAGGAAATAAAAGGAGGAATCGGTCCGAATTCGAAGCTGGTTCCTGGAGACAGATATCTGAAGGGATGCTGGGTTCTCAACATGTAGCTGCCCTCCTGGGGGACTCTCAAGAGACACTTCCAGCTCTCAAATACCCACCCCGAGTCCAGATCTGCGCCTTCTTATGCAAAGCTTCATTCTCGGCTCAATATCTGACCTCCCTACTGGGGCAATTCCTCTGCTGCAGCCTCCGCAGCTTTGAAGGGGAAAGACGGAGGAAGCAGCAGGAGCCTAGTACCACTGCACAGTGACACTCACACAGCCCCAGCAAAATGCACTGCGTCCACAAGCCCTCCCGGTCCTGTGCACAGGGCCTCACGCACACACTCACACAGTCCCTTCCGTCACTCAAGATCACACAATCCCCCTCGTCTGATGCCCGCGCACACGCACGCCTAGGGATCTGGCAGATTCCGTCTGCCTCCCGGGTTCCTCTGAGCGACTCGCTCTCGCCCACCCGCACTGCCGGGTCGGTCAGATTCGAGTCCCAGTCCACGAAGACCTCCCTTAGCCACCGATTTCTTCTTAGGACGTGAAGACCTTACCCAGCTAAGTCGTCAACCCCTGGAGGCCGGAAGTGGAACCGTTAATTCCGGTGCGGTGGCCTCTGGGAAATGCAGTCCTGAGCAGAAAGCGCCTCAGAAGCCTTGGGCTCTAGTCAGTTCAGGTTGATCCCAGCATACACTGGAGGCTTCTAAGAGAGCCGAGCCTAATGGATTTTTAGGAGTTCCAGACCGTGGGGTGCAGAGGTTGCGGCCCCGGGCGAGGATCCCCGTCTGAGAGAAGCGTTGCTCTTCTCGGTGAGTCAGTGTAAATTACCTTTTCTCTCCACGCAGAAGAATGCAAATAAGCAGAACTTTTAAAGAAGAATTTAAAGTAAAATTACGTCCAGATGTAGCTGCTTTGACCTCTTCGTCTCAGATCCCAGCATAGGCTTCCACTTTGTGCTGTTTGAAGGGACTTAGGATAAATTTGAAAAACTTGAACTAAAGAAATGGTTGGAGAGGCCGGGCGCGGTGGCTCACGCCTGTAATCCCAGCACTTTGGGAGGCCGAGGGGGGCAGATCACGAGGTCAGGAGTTTGAGACCATCCTGGCCAACATGATGAAACCTCGTCTCTACTAAAAATACAAAAATTACCTGGGCGTGGTGGCGGGCGCCTGTAATCCCAGCTACTCGGGGGGCTGAGGCAGGAGAATTGCTTGAACCCGAGAGGCGGAGGTTGCAGTGAGCTGAGATCACGCCACTGCACTCCAGCCTGGCGACATAGTGAGATTCCATCTCAAAAAAAAAAAAAAAAAAAGGTTGGTTTTACTAGAAGAGGAAGTGTGGTTTACATGAGAGATTTCAGAATCAAATATACTTGATTCTTAAAGACAATCTTCCTGTTATCTGGAGAGAAAAACGTGATTCAGGATGGCATGGAAATGGATAAAAAAGTACACAGAGAATTACTTGCCTTATCTTGAAGGATGAATAATTAACACATTTTCTTAAAATAGTCTAAACAAATGCCAAAGGGGGCTTGTTTTTTGTAGGAAGAGCTCGATTTCACTGTTGTAATCTAGCAAAATTTAACTTTCAAAATGATTTTTGTAGTTTCCTATGCTACATAAGGAGGAAACATGGAATAATAAAGAGTAAAATGTCTTTTCATTCCCGACTGTGACAGAAAACAAATAGCAAGATAACAAACTTAACTCTACCAATAATCACATTAAATGTAACTGGTTTAACACCTTAAGAAGGTTGTCGGGTTGGATGTTTTTTTAAAAGTCAGACCCAAATACGTGCTACCTACAGGTAATACTTTAAATATAAAAGCACTAATAGGTTAAGAATAAAATGATGGAAAAATATATACCATCCTAACACTAGTCAAAAGAAAGCTGGAGTGGCTATATTAAAAACAAAGTGACTTCAACAAAAAGACTGTATCAGGGATAAAGAAAGTTACGTCATAATAATGATGAAGGATACAGTTCTCCAGTGGAATGAACAAACCTAAATTATGCCCTTAATAATACAGCTTCTAAGTATGTGAGTAAAAACCTGTTAAATTAATAAAGTGACAGACAAATCCACAATTACAATCAGATATTTCAACATATCTCTCTTGGTAATTGATAGAACTAACACAGGAAAGCAACAGGGTATAGATTATCTAAACAACATATCAACCTGCTTGATCTCATTTACACTTCTGGAACACTCTTCTCAAAGACAGTAAAATTCATCTTAGGTGGACAGGGGACACTTACCAGCATATACCATATTCTGGGCCATAAAACAGGTCTCGATAAATGGGTAAATGGACTCAAGTCATACAAAGCATGTTTTTGACAAAAATGGAATTAAATTAGAAATCAATAACAGCTCACTATATATTGTTCAAAGTAGTAAAAATTTGAAAATGTATGAATACTATGATAATTGAAATTCTATAATGTTTGAAAGTTTCCTTTATGAATCATAATTTTCTGTTATATCCTAAAGGGTAAACAATAACATATTTGCATTAAAACAAAATAATGTTTTGTAGTAAGGAAAAAATTTTAAGCTATCTATACTGACTATACATTAAAGAGCAGAATAATTATTTTTGGTATATATTCCAATGCTTTAATCAGTTGCTTAGCCAGTATCACCGTATTTTTAAGGACATTTTTTCAATGCAGTCTATTATTTTTAAACTTTGATAAAATTGTATGCACTCTTCAATGTTGGACTTTATGGTTAATAAACTTGAAATTATAACTACCTTCAAAAGGCACTTCTCTGAACACCATATCTTTTAAATTGAGATATATACTCTGCATATACTAAGGTAATCAGAAGTCTTAGAATATATCCAATGAAATGGAAGATATCCTCATGAGTATTGTGAATATGGAATACTAGATTGCAAATATTTTAGCAGTTGTTGTTATTTTGCCTTCACAGTACATCTCTATTTTTTTTTTTTTTTTTTGCCACTTAGTCTAGGAAGGGTACATTTATTTAAAAATTATTCCTAAAGCCAAACAAATTGGCTCAATTTATGATACCTTTGAATGTTAAGCCAAATTTAGGTGTTACAGAAATATAAACCTTCTCAATAGAATTCCATTCTAGCACAAATTGTAAATGTATCCAGTTAAAAATGGGAGCACCATCAAAAGACTACTGCCATAGCTGAAGAAATTCCTATGCAAAATTGAAGAATTTCAAAATTAAATCCTGTATATAATATGTTATTTCATTACTTCATTCAGCTTCTTCCTTAATTTGTAGAACTAAATCCCATTGTCTTCATGTTGGCAAGTTCTGACAACTGAAACTCTGTTGAATTTCTATACTGAATAGTAGTGAGGATAGATGATATCACTGTTTTGTGCCAAATCACCAGAATCTTAAACAACCAAAAGGTCAAATAACAAATAAAAAGAGAATTTAGAAAACATTTTAGATAAATACAAATAAAAACACATGTTACTAAAGTTTATGAGATGCTTACTACTCGGAAAAATTTATAGCTCTACATGCGTATATAAAAGAGGAAAGATGTCAAATCAATGACCTAACTCTATACATTTAGGAATTAGAATATGAAAAATAGAAAAAAAAAAACCAAAGTCAGGAGACGAAAGGAAATAATAAAGATAACAGGGGGGTTAGATTAAATATAATAGAAAAATAATAGAGAAAATTTACAAAATTAAAAGTTGGTTCTTTGAAAAGATCAAAAAAGTGGCAAAACTATAGCAGGACGGCACAAGAAAAAAGAGAAAACACCAAAATTACTAAAGTCAGAGCTGAAAGTGGAGACATTACTAACCTTACAAAAATGAAAATGATCATAGAAAAAAATGATAAACAATTGTATGTCAACAAAATAACCTAAATGGAAAGGAAAAATTCCTAGAAACACACAAACTATCACTGACTCAAGAAAAAATAGAAAGTCTTAACAGGGAGTGATGTCAGCAAGATAGCAGAATGGAACTTTCCAGCACTTAGCTCTCATAGAAACATCAATTTAAGCATCTATCTATGCATGAACAAACTTTCACAGGAGCTAAAGAATCCAAGTTGCTCACTCAGAGGGGATGGGAATGAAGCAGCTAGTAGACAACTGTCTCTGAGATAGCACAAATGTTGGATTTAGCAAATATCTGAAAGCAACTATTTTAATTATGTTCAAAGAACTAAAACAAGCCATATGTAAAGAATTTAAAGAAGAGTATGGCCGGGCGCGGTGGCTCAAGCCTGTAATCCCAGCACTTTGGGAGGCCGAGGCGGGTGGATCACGAGGTCAGGAGATCGAGACTATCCTGGCTAACATGGTGAAACCCCGTCTCTACTAAAAATACAAAAAACTAGCCGGGCGTGGTGGCGGGCGCCTGTAGTCTCAGCTACTTGGGAGGCTGAGGCGGGAGAATGGCGTGAACCCGGGAGGCAGAGCTTGCAGTGAGCCGAGATCACGCCACTGCACTCCAGCCTGGGAGACACAGCGAGACTCCGTCTCAAAAAAAAAAAAAGAAGAGTATGACAATAATGTCCTGCCAATCAGAGACTATCAATAGAGAGATGGAAATTATTACTGCAATGAAAGCACTAAGTAGAAATTCTAGAGTTGAAAAGTACAATAACTAAAATAAAAAATTCACTAGAACTCAATAGCAGATTTAGCCCGAAAAAAGAATTCATAAACTTGAAAATAGGCCAATAAAATTATGCAGTCTGAAGAACAGAAAGAAAAAAAGAAGAAATAAAAATGAAGAAAGCCAGGCATGGTGGCTCACACCTGTAATCCCAGCACTTTGGGAGGCAGAGGCGGGCAGATTACTAAGTCAGGAGTTCGAGACCAGCCTGGCCAATATGGTGAAACTCTGTCTCTACTAAAAATACAAAAATTAGCTGGGTGTGGTGGTGGGTACCTGTAGTCCCAGCTACTCAGGAGGCTGAGGCAGGAGAATTGCTTGAACCTGGGAGGTGGAGGTTGCAATGAGCTGAGATTCCACCACTGTACTCCAGCCTGGGTGACAGAGAAAGACTCCGTCTCACAAAAAAAAAAAAAAAAAAAAAAAAGAAGAACGCCTCGGAGATATGTAGTATACCAAGAAAAACACCATCATACATATGGCAGGAGGGACAGAAGGAAAGAAAAAGGAATAATGCTTGAAAAATAATGACCAAACTCTTTGCAAAGTTGATCACTCACACACACACACACCCTCATATACTTAGAATACAAAATGTGAACACACTCCAAGAGAATTGCAGATAAAAACTTAAAAACTATTTGTTGCCAGTAGACAGTAGACTTTCATAATAAGAAATATTAAAGTTCTTTGGGATGAAAGGTGACACCAGATGGTAACTTGAATCCACACAAAGAAATAATGAGCAGTGATTAAAGTCATTACATAGGTAAATAAAAGATAATATACACTTTTACCCTTTTACTTTAACTGATTAAAGGTAACTGCATAAAACCATAATTTTACAATTGTTTTGTTCATAATGTATAAAGTTGTCATTTGTGTCACATTTGTATTACTATAATAGCACAAAGGAAGGGGAGGAAGGGATCTATATTGCAGCAAACTTTCTATATACTATTAGTATTATTTAATCTATTTTGATTAAAATTTTATTTCTAATTTTTTGTGGAGACAGGGCCTCACTATATTGCCCAGGCTGGTCTTGAACTCCTAGCCTCAGGCAATCCTCCCACCTCGGCCTCCCAGAGTGCTGGGATTACAAGTGTGAGCCACCATGCCTGGCCACTGTTAATACTATATTAGTAACAATATCAATTAGATTTTTTAAAGCTAAGATGTATATTAGGTTTTTTTTTTTAAGCTGAAAACAAACAGATGGAAAACAAAAGGATGGAAAAAGATACAAATAGATACCATACCAATGGTGATCAGAAGAGAACAGGAATGGTTAATACCACCATCAGACAAAATAGACTTTTAAAATGTTACTAAGGAAAGAGAGAGACATTTATTTAATGTT